AAGTGCTTTGTTGCGCTGTCCCTTAACATGTTCCTGTAACTTGTCAAGCACGGCCTCTACAGTCAGAGTTGTCGTAGGAGGCACTTGAAGTGTGTGCTCGAGAGTACGTTGTGTCTCCAAGGACAGGCACATACGAAGCTGTATCATCTGTTTAGGCTGTGGTAAACTTGACAGGTCAACCATTGTTGCATAGTCCTGCCAACGTCGACGCCATTCCCAAAATTTCTGATAAGAAGCGTCAGACTTCAAAGAGGGAGGCATTTGTGCTGCAGCCTTTTGAGGAATTGTTGAACCGACTGGGAGATGAGGTACCAGTACCTCTAGTTGTATCAGCATTAGTAGTAGCAGAAGAATCTTGTAGAGTAGATCGTTGTGGAGAGGCTAACAGGGAAATCAAGGCTTCAAATCTGGCTTGATTCTCTCTTCTTCTCAGGTCATCCTCACTTCTACTTATATCTTCTAGTTCTCTGCGTCTTCGTTCATCTTCGTGGCATCGTCTTTCAGACTCTCTGTACTGAATTTCTTCCTCTTCTCTTCTTGCAACATAGTCCTGGCGTCGAGAAGTTTCCATCCACTTAATCAGTTGAAGGAGATCCTTGGACGCAGGCACCGCAAGAGAGCTTGCTCGCGACGAACGAGGAGATTCTGTGGGTGATTGGGCGTTGCCAATGTGGGAAGTGTAAGGCGTGAGTGTGGGTGGGGAGAAATCTCCCAAACTTAAACTCATAACCCCATCGTCCAGGGTATCATTTTGATCCCTGAGACATGCTGACAGCTTCTGTACTCTATCTGTGCAAGAGACCGGGTCAACCCCTCGTAATCTATGCACAGAATTACAGAAGTTTAAAGTAATACACAAGAATTTAATATAAAGTGGGCCTGTGAGTGCGTGTGTGTGTATGGCTCGCTGCCGGGAGGCTTGACGCTCTGCCAAACGTAGGGGCAGCTCGGCGCAAGTCGCAACTGAACTGAAGTTGTCTTACTGCTCGCTGCTCTGTCACTCAATGACTATGAGCAGGAGGGGATGTACTGCTGGGCAACTCCCTTAGTCATCTGACTGCAGTTTGCACAGACAATTCTGATTAAAATACACAACACAACACAGCACTTCACTTCACAGCACAGCACTTTACACAGCATAGCACTTCACAACACTGTATGTCCTGAGGCTTGTAGTCTTGCTGTAAATCCTTGGCGAAGCTGAAGACGAGACGCCATTAACAACACAGTCTGGCAGGAAGGCTAAATTCACTCTTAATCTCACTGAGAAATCTCACTGCTCCATCTATGTCTGTCTTTGATACCCCCAAAATGTTCTACACTACTGAGGGTATACGCAAACACTTGTTATCTTGAAAATAGGTTCTTATTCTCGTACGGGAGACAAATACAGAGGAACAAATAACAGTGGCTTCCACACTATAAGAACTATCGATCTCAACTCCCTGTATCACTCCGCGCTGGCATGCACAGATGCCAGCGTTCACAAGCTCAATATATAATATGTAAATATGATAATACATATACATAACATGGTGCATAATAAATGGAAACATTACATAGGATTAATACATGTTCTGTAATACTTTACTATACATAATTAATAGAGTAATATAAGAACACACAGCTTAAGGTACTACTTCATGTCCATATTATACAAAGTCAATATTCTTTTCTATACTTCATTTCTTCTTTCATATATAATATTGTATTTTCTGAATTTAATGTCCTTACTTTCTCTCAATTATATCCTGTTGTAGTTATATTCTAAACCATGGATTAGTCTGGGAAACAATGTCATTATTATTATTATAACACTTATTACTTACAATGGTAGCCTGCCACCACCCAGACGTTTATTAGAATATAACATATCTTAGTGAACTGTTAGGTAGCGTGCTAGCGAGCTTCTAGGCACATGAGTTACAATAGTTATTTTCTGAGAACCAATGGGTAGAAGGAATAGAGCGGTGATACTCGCAGTTTATTAATTTAATATTTATTAATATAAGAAGTGAATAAAATGTTAATTAAGTACACTCACACAAGACTGGACCACTTAGGTCTTACTTCACCATTCATAAAATTGATCTTCAATTACTTATTACACCATTAAGCAACTGTTGTATTATTTCTTTGACAAATAAGATGGTTATTTGACAAGCCCAGATAGGACTGGACCATTAGGACTTACTTTTACAAGTAGCAAAATAAATCTTCAATTCTTAGTTACAACATTAAACAATCATTATATTATTTCATTTTCAATACAGATGGTTCTATGACACACTTGACAATATCCCAAATTAACTAATAACATCATGTTCTTTCAGAATGAACAACATGGCACTTTTCCCTCAGTTGATGTACTCAACTCACATAACATATTTACTGGTACTATCAATATTTATGGGTTCACTACTCAACATGGGATAACTATATTTCTACTAATTATCCCCAATCATATACAACAATAATACTTTGGCCCATATAACTGTAAGGAGTGCCCCAGGGTGTCACCATGAAGAGTGATGTTAGGGTCGGTTGCAGTCCGACACATGGCGAGGGAGTTCAGGCCTAGTTCCCAGGGTGCGGACTCGCACAATTTAATCGTGCCCAATTAACGACATTCTGCAAGGTAGCCAGCTGGTGTGCCTGAGATAATGATGGAGCAGCGTCAGAGATGTGAATAATAACTCAACCACAAAAAATCTTTAGTCTAGCAACGACAGACGATATTTACGTTACATTGATTCTTTCACTGGGTAAATGACAATTTCACTATTACAACATGAACACTGATATTCACAAAATTCACTGAGTTAAACTGACTTAATATGGTGGGCGGAGAATCGTTCACATACCTGAGATATTGATGGAGCAGCGTCAGAGATGTAACTCTACTCTTTGCGCACGAGTTTATATACAGCTAACTGGCAACTCAGGCCTGTGCGGTACACATGGCAGAAAGGCTAATCACGCAATGATAGAAATTACATTCAACTCAGTTGCTGTACATTTAACATTAGTTTTACAAACTCAGTACAGCTGCAAACAAGGAACAATTCACAGCGATACGTTAGATTTTGGAGATTATACAGGTTGACAGAATAGTTCAGGAGATTAATGACTTTTTTAAATAGACAACTGACACTAACTAAACTACAAACATCAGATTCTCTGATGTTTGGTCATCAAAATAATCTAACGTCAGTAGCAATTGGAAATTCATGGCTATCCCCAGGGACAATATCATGGGATGCCATTCATACTGGCAGAGTCGACACTCACTTACTTAACCAGTGTTACTAACAATGAAGAGTTAAAGCTTTCAACATCACTCACAAAGGATCTTGTGTACTTTAACTGTACAGTGATCCCTTGGTTAATGAAATTTCGGTTAACGAATTACCTCCATAAGATTCTTAACTTCGGTTAGCGAGCAATCCCTCGATTAACGAATTTCTTACAAGCACCCCTCCACATGTTTTCGGTTGCATTTGGCAGTCCACCAGCTGTAGTATTAGTCCGCCAATACAGTAATCGGTTCTAGGGCTTAAATTCCTTACTATTTTAGTAAATATCAAGAAGTTTGTACTATTCAATAATTTTAAAAGTTTTATATTAAATTTTTTAGTTATTTTAACAATTATTGAACATAATTGAAGTATAGGAAGCTATTTTTTTGCGCGCCAAACAGCCTGTCAACACACCATACAGGTGTCAGTCTGTCTTTTCAGTGGAGGTAACATCTTGCTTCAGACTCTTGTAGGTGTTCGTGATATAATGTTGTCTAGCACTCAGGATGGTTGGAAACTCTAAGGTGGTTTTCTTGTATAATATAAGTTATATGATAGACAGTCTGGTGCTGGAGGTGCCGTGTGGTGAGGAGCTGCTCAGTAGAGACATTCGGTGAGTAGCGTGTTGAAGGAGGTAGATGTGCAGGAGCTTCGTTAGAGAAGATGTTGCCTGTTGCTGGCCTCCTGGTTGAATGAAAGCTGGACAGCGAGGAGCTTGCTGGGAGGAGGTGTTGCGTGTTCAGGAACCGAGAGCAGAATGAGAGCTGGTTGGTGAGGAAGCTCAGAGAAGGACAGCTGGTGGGTCGCCATGCTCGCTGGCGGGAGCGAGGACCGCCAGGCAGGCGAGGAGAAGCGAGGGCCGCCAGGCAGCGGCGGAGGAGGAGGTGTTGCGTGTTGTAGAAGTGAGGCCAGAATGAATCTCAATGGAGAGACAGAGCTTATATACCCAGCAGCCGTGAGTCATCTATGAGTCATGTTGGGAAAACCTGAGAAAGTCGCCGGTCTTTTGACTCAGTTGCTAGGATACGGTGGCATCTGGTGACGCCCCCCGCTTGGGCCGCTAGTTTGGTTGCTAGGGAAGATGGTAGCAGCTGGTGGCTGCGGCTACGCAGTTGTAGGGGAGACGTCCACTACACTCTCTTCAACATAAACGCTTTTTTCTGTGTTTCCAAGCAAATTATTGGTCATTTTGAAATTTATTTTACATATTGACAATATATAATGCAGTGCAGTGTTGATTTAAAGAAAATAATCTTGAATTACACCAAGTGAACTAAAATTTTATGGGTGAAATGGCACCATGGGGAGACTTTTCTTCCACCCCAATGCCTTCTCTTCCATCCCCTTTCTAATTCCCATCATCATCATCCAGGAGCTTTCTACATACACACCTCAAAGTAAGTGTACTTTACTACCTTTTTTGTTGACTTTAGGCAATTTTCGGTGAGCTGGAACCAATTACCCAAAAATCCATTATAACAATGGTTTCGGTTAATGAGCAACCTTCTGTAACGAATTGTGCTCGTTAACCGAGGGGCCACTGTAATCAGACATCTCTAAATTGACTCAAAACAATGGTGTCCTCTCTTATATTCAAATTCACTTTATAAAGAGGTTGGTTTCAGGAAGTCAGAGAAAATGGACGGCACCCACACTTGGGAGCGATGAGAAAACGAACGCCTCAGATGGGAGACTCAATAAGAAGACATAGCTACATGTTTTGTGGGCTATTGAGCGTAACATGAATCGTCTGATTTTACATTAACTAACATGCACGACCGTGGTCATTACAACAGACAAACTTCTAGTTGAACGTGTACATGCAACTCATGTGACTTAGCCAGCTGACAGATGTCATGTGATAGTTACTGAGCATCTCATTGGACTTTTCCTCCCTTCTGTTGATCTGTTTTGTGTGTATTGTGCAAGAGGGCTTCTTGTGTGTATATCAATGTTGTACTGTATTGTACCTCCCAGGTAGAGAAAAAAGGTAAGCATAAGCATTAAAGTCACCATAAGAACAACATTAAAGATCCTAAAGAATTAAAAAATAATGAGTATGAATTCAATTAAGTTCACCATATATAATATTAAGAATACATGTACTAAGGAATGCATATACAGTATAATGTAATCAACACACAGAGCCCCCATGCCTCTTCAGCATCATTTCTGAACAGTCTGGTGAGTGCTTAAGCTTAAAATTTTACATATTTGTAATAATTTTCATGTTTTAAAGGGAAAGCAGCTTGATTTACAGTAACATGACACCAATCCAGAATTTCATTTACCTATAGGATGGGTGTCAGCATACAGTACAGGTTAATTATAGCCTGCATTTTTGTGGAAAACTGTTAAAATATACTGTATTTCATACAAGAGTTTAATCATCAAATGTATTATGAAGGAAGTCTTTGAGAGTAGTACTTTGTACTCTATTGCCTGTACCACCTTTTGTTACCACTTTGATGCCTTTTTTCTTTTTTAGGAAAGTGGGTTTTGGCTTGGGAAATACATCCACTTTATGATGACCTCCTAAACCATCATATCCAATTTGATCAGTTCCTAATCTTGCACTGCTTTTTGGTTTCTGACTCATCCCTGTGAATTGAAGAAACATTAACAATCGTTCAAAACAAATTTTCAGTCTACTTATGTCAAAGGGGTTCTTTACATGTGCCAGTTTGATGAGAAGTCATCAATTTTCAGTATTAAAAATCCATCACAAGATAGAGTAACATGAATAAAAAGGGATGTTGTGAAGCAAAATGTTAATAAATATATCAAAAGGTAAGAACGTAATAATAACAGATTGTGTAAATAATTATACAGTAAGTTTTTTCCCTCTTGCTGCAACTTTCTGCTATAATGTACAGTAGATGGAATCAAGAGCAGTCATAAATAAATTTTCCCTTAATTTGATGCCATTCACTCTTTCTCAATAGATGAGTTCAGTTATGGTACTGCCCTTCCACAAATAAGCTCTAATTATCCATCTCTGTTGCCTCAAACAACCTAGCATCACCTATCAACAGCTTACATTTCCCCAAAATATCACTTGATGCCATAATCTCCATTCATTTACACGCTGTTGCTTCCTGGAGGTCCACCCCCTTCGCCTTTAGTGTTATTTCACCCCATTCTTCCATCTACTTTCATAGGTCTTCTCCCCTCACACTTCCCATCCATTTCTGCTTTATACATTTATTTTTACCCATTTTTCAGTTACTATTCTCTCCACATGACCATCCTTTGATATGAAGCTGGTAATAATAGATACCATCCACTCTAAATGCGAATGCCTTGAAATCATTTGCATTTTGATAATCCAGTTAATTAACATTATTTTAGAGAATAACAGGTCTGCTTACCTATTGTGAACATGTTTAGTTTGAATAAATGAACAGCATAAACGAATATTTCTAAAAACCAATCGGCATGACTTATGGACCAGGTTAGTGTGGAAAGGGTATAGTTTTATGTATGTGCGGATTAGTGCATCATCCCATCTCCCACAGCCTGCCACTGCTCTCCATGCTCTTCCAGTGTTGTGATCTCATAGCGTGCTGACATACTGTTCTGCTCTGTATATTATCTAACATGACTAGAGAGTGGGGAGAGTTTAACACCAGTGGGACCCACCCTGGGGTAAACGAATCCTTGATGCACACTGTACCATTGAAAAGATTGAGGTTACAATAAGGGCACACTGAAAAGTGCAAAAGCTACATACATGCCATGCGACCAGAATCTTGAAAAGATGGAAAAGCACTGAACAAATTGATGGAAGATCAGGCCCAGAAAAATGTGCCTTTAAATTCAGAGGTAATTTGTGTGAAGCTCAGGCGAATGTACAAACACCTTGTTGAAAGTTTGGGTGAGGGAAATGTAGCAGACATACATAAGGTTTCAAGCCAGTAAGGGCTGGTTCGAAAACTTTAAGAAAAAATATAGCCTGCACAATGTGAAACTCACTCGTGAATCAACATATCACCAGGCCGCTGCGCTTTATCCTGAACAATTAAAACATTATTTTAGGAGAAAGGTTACTTGCTGGTATTCAACATGGGCAAGATTGGCCTTTTTTGGAAATGGATGCAAAAAAGAACATTTATTTCAATGGCTGAAAAGGCTGGTCTAGGATTCAAGGCATCAAAGGACAGGATGACCGTTTTCTTTTGTGGTAATGCCTTAGGGGACTGCTTCATTAAGTCCATGTTCCTTTACCAGTCTCTGAACTCCCATACCCTGAAGGGCAAGAATCACCTCTATCCATGTGGTTGAACAGTTATCTTACCTCCAAAAAATCAGGGGTTTAAGGTGCTATTCATCATCGACAATGCACCTGGTTACCCTGAAGCACTCCTTATCACCCATCCCAATATAGAAGTGGAAGTCTTCCCTCCAAACACCATGTCACTCCTTTAGCCCATGGACCAGGGTGTAATAGCAACATTTAAAGCTATTGCATTTTCCGCACCTTCTGCCGTATCTTTGATGCCATGGACTGCACGGCATCATCAAAGAATCTATGGATGAATGAAGCCGTCAATGCTGAATGCGTGCTGGGGAAATCTGGTCTGAGGTAGTACACTACTTCCAAGTTTTCCCTTCAGGCAAGGGGCTGAGTGACATGCAGGTCAATTATATAGAGGAGTTCCTTGGGTCCCACATGGAGGGGTTGACCAAAGATGACCTACAGGGGTTGAGGATGAGGTGAAAAAAGGTAAAGCTGACTCTTGGCAACCTTACAAGGTGTACATTGATTAAAAAAAAAAAAAAAAAAAATCACCCAAAATAATCCTAAGTTTTTTTAGCAAGCCAGTGGCCACCGATGTTACAACGGTGTCAATCATTGACCCACAACTCTGCACCAGGGACTACACTACAGCCACCACCAACAACTCTCCGCCAGCCAAGCTGCCACTGCGCCACCTACCTCATCAGACATTGACGAACCTGAAGAGGTACAAGAAGAGAGTAGGCCTCTGTGCCCCTCTTGTAACAACCACCTCTCCCTTCACCTCAGCCACATCCACCATCATCATCAATGTCGTTAAGGTAAATACCCCTGAACTGTAAAGTTTATATCAAGCTTTGAAGAAGTGTTATCAGCGGCAGTGGAACCTAAGCCCCTATTTCCCATAAGCCTTTAGTCTTGCCAATCGTGGATTTGCCAACCACGGGTTTTCAAGAACCTAAGCCCCACGGTTGACTATTGTACAAGAGATGCTCCACACAAGAATCAAGAAAAAAAAGTAATAATAATATTAAATTACTTACTTAAACATTCATCAGGTTTGGCTTTTGCAAATATGTTAACCTGGTGACCATTTGTTGATCGATCCGTATTAGTGGTGACTGCAAGTGGACGCCGACCAACCAATGACAACTGAAAAAACAAGAAGCAGTTAAGTGGCATCTGGAAGCTAGGGATCATTAATTCTTGAGCCTTGATTCATATGCCCCTTGCAAAGACATGTACACTCACTATAAGATTATTCTGCACCTTTATGGGGTTATACAATATGACACACTAGAAAAAGGAATCTGATAACGCTCACCACGGCTTCTGTTGCAGTGATCATTCCAGATGGTTTCAGAGCCAAGGGTGCAGAATATTTTTTTAGTGAGTGTACTCTAGCAGCTAAAACATTACCCAAACAAACATACACTGGCCACTTATACAAAAAGAATAAAAAGAAGAAAAGAACACTAACTTAATGGATAAAAAACCCCTTTGAAGTATGGCAACCTACATAGGGTGGCTTAGTGATGACAGTAAATTATCCACACACCTTAAGTCTCTTATTGTTTATGGTGATCATCAAGAGGATCAGTTTCACTTCAATGCTTCTTTTATTAAATATGTTTACCAATATTACGAATGCATTTTTTTTTATGTTACTGTTTTTCTTTTAAAGTGTAAACCATCAATCATTTTTGCAAACTCAACACAAGTTGATTGCAAATTAAATCGACATTAACTTTTCCATATTCATATTACTTCCTGGTAACAAAGTTTCAGACATTTTGAAACATGAAGACATAAATGAAACAACATTTTAAGATAACTTACTAGTATTGGCACAATTAGTTAAAAACAATATTGTAAGTTATATGTTTTGGTATCAAAGCCTGGAATAATGTCCAGTCTTCTGAAAGTTCACAAGGATAATTGCTCCTTAGACCAATTCCGTCTACAATAGGGACATTCAACTGTGTTTTTTCCAAGTTCCTTGTTTCAGTTTTGTCCTGTATTACCACTGATCATTTCCCAGTTTCAATCCCATTTTCTTTTCCTAAAGAAATAGCTTGCTTAAACTTCAGTAATAGTATCATGGAGAGTTTTGACAGAGTTAGTTTATTAAAAAAAACCTTCAGGAAATTATTTAAATGTGCCATAATTATGGGTTTTGGGTGTTTCCAAATGATGTAGCTTCCATGTTGAGTGATTATGTCTGATAATAATATATAAAAACAATGTGATGACATATCCATGGGATCAACTTAAGCACCTATTCTTGCAAATGACAACACGAGACCACCTGGGTTAATGAATGTCCACAAAATTATAAACCATTATTTTCCAGATACCACATTGATATCCATTTAGCTTTTAATTACTGACCACATTATACAGCTTCAGAGAGAGAAAATAATAATTCACTTCTAGTTTTTTTTTAGGTTGGTGCAGTATTGTATGGTATTGTAAATTGTGTACAGTGGCCCCTCGGTTAACGAGCACAATTCGTTCCAGAAGGTTGCTCGTTAACCGAAACCATTGTTTCAATGGGTTTTTGGGTAACTGGTTCCAGCTCACCGAAAATTGCCTAAAATCAACAAAAAAGGTAGTAAAGTACACCTACTTTGAGGTGTGTATGTAGAAGGCTCCTGGATGATGATGATGGGAATTAGAATGGGGGTGGAGGAGAAGGGAGAAGAGAAGGCATTGGGGTGGAAGAGAAGTCACCCCATGGCGCCATTTCACCCATAAAATTTTAGTTCTCTTGGTGTAATTCAAGATTATTTTCTTAAAATCAACACTGCACTGCATTATATATTGTCAATATGTAAAATAAATTTCAAATTGACCAATAATTTGCTTGGAAACACAAAAAAAGCATTTAGTTGAAGAGTGTCTCAAGCAAGATGTTACCTCCAATGAAAAGACACAGAGACTGACACCTGTTTGGTGTGTTGACAGGCTGTTTGGCGAGCATAAAACTAGTTTCCTATACTTCAATTTTGTTCAATAATTGTTAAAATAACTAAAAAATTTATATTTAACTTTCAAAATCATTGAATAGTATAAACTTCTTGATATTTACTAAAATAGTAAGGAATTTAAGCCCTAGAACCGATTACTGTATTGGCGGATTAATACTACAGCTGGTGGACCGCCAAATGCAAGCGAAAACATGTAGAGGGTCGCTCGTTAAAAACTCGTTAACCGAAGTTAAGAATCTTATGGAAGGTAAATCGTTAACCGAAATCTCGTTAACCAAGGCGCTCGTTAACCGAGGGATCACTGTATAGAAAACCTACTTTTATTGGAATTATGTATAAATTTTTCTCATTCATTTCAATTTATTATATATTTAAACTAGTTCTACGAGAGATGAACTCAGCTTGTATCCTTTTTTTCATGTGAAATGAAACTTTAAATTTTTTGCAGTCTTTTTCAAAATGATTTCTCAGTGAGATTTACTGATACACATACAGTACTGAAAATGCTTTGAAAATTATATTACCTGTAGAGTGATATCCCGGGATGAGAGATTTCTGGGTAATGAGATGACTCTATTATCTCTAACCAGGAAAAAATCCCATATCCCTGGAATTTTTCCAGGTACAGTACAGGGAAAATTTTTTGAGTCTAAACTACACATCGTGCACAGACACTATTGCATATCTCGTCTCTAAACTACATATAAACTTATATTCACAGCATCTGTTCTAACAGTGTTGAGAGAGATGAATTTGGTGGGATGTCAATGTCGCATTTTGGACTACAGTATAGTCTGGGTTTACGCGGTCAATTAAACCCATGGAGGTCCGCATATAACGCGAAACGCGTAAATAAAATAACAGAACATATGGGATTAATTGAAATAGAGACTGGGCCGACCCCCAGACTACCCTTTTCCGACACAATACGTACGTTGTAGTAAAAATAACATTTTAATTTTATGATGGTATGCACACACAATTAATAATTAAGAGAAATATCAATAATATTAGGTTTTTTAACACTTACGTTAGTAGAAGAGATGGCTGGGCACACGGGAATCGGGGGTTGGTTCCGAGGCAAAGGGCAGATTATTGGCCCTCATCTGTATCACTATCCACCACAGAGGCTAGCAGGGCCTCCTCTTCAAACCCCTCAAAATCCATATCCTCACTATCACTGACTTGGGCTGGTTGTGGTGGGTGGCGGGTGAAGAACTTGGTAATGTTTTGTTGACTGGGCAGGCAAAGTTAAATAGACCAATCACAGTGCGCGGCGGAGGGGGTGCGTGGGTGGTAAGGATACGTGGCCAAATCACAGTCCGCGACGTCATAGGCACAAGTCTGACGTCAGCGACCAGCCGCTTGCCGCGTAAATTAAGGAATGTACCGCGTAACTAATAATTGGCACGTCTGGACAAGTGCCGCGTAAATGGCCAAATGTGTATAAAATATCCGCGTAAATCCAGACTATACTGTATATCACAAAAACTGGTTTTTAGAAAAAAAAATACGGCTTTTTGTTCAGTCCAGAATGCGACGTCTAGCTTTGATTACTCGAGCAGGAGGTGGAGAGGGAGGTGACATTGAGTATAAGGCTATGCTAGCTTAGGTCCAGATTATAATTACCTGTATAAACTTTTTTAGAATATTTTCCAATATTAGGAACATTTACGGGAAGGTAAAATGTTAATTTACATATCCCAATAAGGATATACTCACTTTACTCTGATGAGGAAGAAGAAGGTCCTGGTTGTGGAGATTAACCAGGTGGGGAAGGGAACCCCAGCACTACCACATGCGAAGCAGCTTCCAGAGATAGATGAAGACAGCTGTTTTGAAAGGTTTTTTGAAGATTTCCAAAAGCCCACTTCTTTGATCTGATTGAGGCTCATATGCCACAGACCCTGCATATTTCCTAGTGTCATGTGCCAAAAATTTCTTGCCAGGGTCTGCTTTACTCACTAACTGAGATAAATATTTCGTCATTTGACTAGGAAACAATTTCTTACCATCCTGTGATGAGAATACATAGGGGCCTTGATTGGGGACAATATATGAGGAACCCTCGTCTCATCCATTAGCAGTTTTATCCTGATAGGTTAAGCTTGAAAATCCTCCCTTAATTTTTTTCTGAGGATCTCTTAAGAAAAAGGGTGACATCTTCTGAGGAAGATACCAATAATGATGGATTATTGGAAATTTAAATCAGCTCAATGATTTTCATACCTTTTGCTATTGCTAGAAGGAAGGCTGCCTTCTGAAGCAATCTATTCTTGTTCAGATATAAATTGTAATTAGGCCCCATAAGAAATTTAGTAACTTTATCTAGGGACCAAGGTGGGATATAGGCCGAGGGGGTGTCTCTGAATGAAAAAGGACGATCTGAGCATTTGATAAATTCTTTGGTTCAAAGTAATATTAGAACCCCATGCCAGAGGGTCAACAAATGCTGATATATAAGATGCAATAGTCGATCCTGTTTCAGACAATGTGATTGGAGTCGTTAACCTGATAAATTGTTGAAAAGTTTCCAAGCTTTCTCAAATTGCATAGAAGTTTGGGTTCTATGACCTGCTATTACTTGGTTAACTATATCGAAAGTACCCAACAATCTATTTACACATCTTTTGAGAAACTCCAAGCGTGAAGTGCCAAGGATATCTCGAACTGAGGGTGCAGCACCTGGTCAAGACATCCTTGTCGCAATTGCAGTGGGTGTGGGCACCAGTCCAACAGATCCAGTCACCAAGGTTATAGGATCCAATATGGTGCAAAGAGGACATATCCTTTGAAGGATCTGAGTTTGTGAACCACTTTGGGCAACATTTTCACAGGTGGGAACAGATAAATTGAATTCCAATTGTTCCAATCTATAAGTAGATAATTTCCTTAAAGATTCGATCATTCCACAGATGCATATATTGGCATCTTGTGAATTTTTTTTTTTTTAATCATGCCAAGAAACCTCTTACTTTACACAGAAGGCTTCTACTTGGTTTATCACATGTTACTTTTGCTTCTGGTAGACTGGCTGACTGCTGAATGGTTTCCTAATGGAGACCTAACCAATCCAATTTCTGACATGGTATGAGATTTGATTTGACCTGGTTTGTCTTTAATCCTAGGTTTTGAAATAGTACTAGTGTACGTTGGGTCGCC